TCAGGCGATAATAGACTCGGCATACAGGAGATAAAGGTTTAAACCTTTGTAAATTAGCTAGGCAACACTTCAAAATACGTCTACACTCCCTTTAACTGCGTAGTTCTTTACTTTGTAATCAATAAATCGACAAATAGACAAATCAATCGATTTATCAGTTAATTAATTAGTTTAATAGGTTTCCTGATTTATAGATAATTAAACTATCCGAACATTTAATCTATTTATTCAACTAACTTTTGGGGGATAGATGGATAGATAGATAGATAGATAGATAGATAGATAGATAGATAGATAGATAGATAGATAGATAGATAGATAGATATAGATAGATAAATAAAAATTATACACTTATATTGAAAAACTTAAAAGTACCAAATATTTAAAATTTTAATCTTGTAAAGATGTGTTTTTTTTCACGCTAGTTTCAATTTTGCCCAGTAAATTTCCGTTTTTAATATCTCCAGGTTTGGTACATTAAAAACTTGTAAAGTTCCCAACGAAAAATCATGACGATAAAAAATAAAAAGTTAATATTTATATTCTTGTTTTGAAGCTGTATCTGTGTACTTTACACAGACATGATTTTGAACGCCTTGTTTTTACAGTCCTCAGCTGTATTTATAAAGCAAGGGGGCGGGGGTATTTAAAATCAAGAAGGGGAGGGGGGTTGTATTGTGAAATGTTGTAGGTGTAAAAACATATCTGTAAGATAAATTTGAGCTGTAGAGTGTAGACGTTGTAAACCTTTTATTGGTGTTAACACCTGAACCTGTTTATATGTAGAAAAGGAGCGGGGGGTGGGGGCCTAGCATCTTTCAAAAAAAGAAAAAAATATTCTGATAAAATTTGTTGAATTAGTAAAATTGAGCCGGAATGATAACTCAAATATGGGTTTGAGCCCCAAATGTACCAATTATATTTTTTCTGACATATTCCGAGTTTTTAATTTTATAATTTTTTTAATACACATTGAATTAACTGAAATATAGAGCTTTCCAATGACACTTTATAGCCGCTATCCCTACTGCAAAGGTNCCCCCTTGACCCTCTCCGCCCCCCCTTCCCCCTCAAACGAAATATTTTTCTTTTATAAAAGAATTAGAAAGCATGCAATCTTGGCTAAATAGACAAATTAAAGAAATGTAAGAAGCAAAACCTGTTCTTTATACATTATCTTTAGTTTGTTAAAAGTGGCGTGATGCGTCCTGAATTTTTGTCTTGTTATAAATATTTGAAAAATGTGAAGATGTTTAAATTATGATTTAGAGAGGTCAAGGTTGTTTAAAGTGTAGAGAGAGAGAGATATATTTAAATATGAATATTAGATTATCCCTGCACTGTCAATACTTCAAGCTCGTTTTAAAACAAAAAAGCTCAACTGCAAATACTAACCCCCACCCCCTCCCGCTAGCAAAATATTGCAAAAAAGACACATGCTTCTCTTTGTTAACCCTCTTTACTCAGCTCTAGACTGTTACCACGCTAGATAAACCAGAGCTGAAAACTTTAGAATGGGATATCCTTAATCCTGATCGGTAAATAAATCTGGAGATTAATATAAAGAGGAGAACAAGCATTATTTAATCTCGAGATTAAGAAAAAGAGTGGAACAAGCATTAATCCCGATATCCACCATTCAAAAGTTCCCAGCTCGGATCTAAATATGTTCGGACTTTATTTAAATCAAACAGTTGTGCAGGCTGTACTGAAATAAACTTAGTCAACATTTATTAAACTAGGCTTTTAGGGTGCTTTGCGTCCATCTTTATTTTGACTTTTAATTGTTGCTTTTTCTGTGAGCATCTTCTCTTTGTACAATATAAAACAAAAACAAACAAAAGATTGCGGAGTTCAAAATATTTTTTCGCGCATTTTCAAAACTTTACAAAAAAAAAACTTTTAAACACAAATTTTTGAAATTTTGATCATTCATAAACCTTCCCTGGAGTCTCTTGAGGCCCCACACAAAATTTGGGCCTGATCAGTTCAGCCGTTTTGACGTTTATTGGATACAAACAAACAAACAGACAGACAGACACCCAAGCAAATGATATATAGAAGCCTGTTTGTCAGAACTTAATTAACATTTAAACTCTTCTGCCAAAATTTTATCAGCAAAAATTTGTTCGAAAGTGAAGGCTTATTGAATTTGGATCTTTCAGTGACTAAATCCTTTTACTAACAGTTGACAATTTGCTTTTCAATTTCAATAATTGAAGGGTGGCTTAAGATATGTTCACAGTCCCTTTAATTAATCATTTGTTGATCAGATAAATAAATATCAATCAATTTACTTATCTGTCTACATCTAACAAGTTAAAAACGTTGATCCCAAGAAGTGAATAGAAAAAAGGATTTATAACAGACGAGTATTGGGACAGATACGTGAACCAGACAAAAAAAACTGAATCAATATCTTGGACCTGTTCAATAAACGGTGTCCTGAAAAAACTGAATCAATATCTTGGACCTGTTCAATAAACGGTGTCCTGAAAAAAGAACACTTTAAACCTTAACTAATAAGCTGTAGAATAGTGTTTTTTACAACAGAAAAAGATTGATTTGCGTTAAAAAAATTTTATATGTTTTTTTTGGGACATCAAATCGACCCACTGGAATATTTAATAGGAAAGTATACATTGAGAGGGTGTCCACCTTTAGGGGTTGGAGGGGGTGAAAAGGGAGGGGGAATCAAGGGGAGGGGGTGGGGGAAAGTAAGGTTGCCAAGGAGACAAGGAAATTGTCCTGTGAGAGGGGGAAACTTGAAAAGAAAGAAATGAATATTTTTAAGAGATATTTTTCTTTCATGTTTTTCTTCGAGGAAAGGCTCCAAAAACTTTTTTCTAATATGCATACAGCTATACGTAATTAAAAAAAAATGTTGAGAGTAAAAATCAATATAATTTACCCATTTCTGATATTTATCTCTCCCCCCCCCCCCTTCTCACAGAAATCCTGAGAACAACATTTTTATCAAATTCAAAAACTGTTATCGAAAATTTGTCTGAATGTTCCAAATTTTTATTCAAATTATCTGAACAATGAACAGGGTTGTACCCACAAAAATGAGAATTCACCGAAAGATTTCATTCTATTGACCAATGTTATTTAAATAATTTTATAGTGTTATTTCATGTCTTATTTTTTAGTCTTTGAACATGAAACAGATGGAAACAGAGCAATTGTGCAGATGTACTTTAAAGTATACAGCATACACGCACCCATATTATAGTTCACCGAGTCAGAAATTGATTTTCAAGATATACTTGTAAAATTATTTGTAGCCATTGCTTTATAACAACCTCAAATACAAAAAGATTGCTTTATAACAACCTCAAATATAAAAAGATTGCTTAAATGTTGTTTTCCTTTTCCACAGCATTATGGCTTCAATCGTAGAAAATTTGTTCATAATAAAAGTGCTTTTTTAAGGGTTTGATGTCGAAAAAAGGAAATTTTTAGTTGTTGCATGCAGATTTGGCTGTGTTCAAAATAAAATTAATTGTTTGAAATCAATATAGAAACATTTATTTATTTTACTAATGGATTTTTTAAAAGCTTTACAGATGAGTATAAAGTATAAATAGATAGAAGATACATACATTTACATACATACATACACCCATACATACGCACATAAATACATACATACATGCATCCATCTATATTTATAATATAATAGAAAAATAGTAGATGAATTTTCAGTGGCGTAGAAACGTTACATTTCAGTCCATCGAGTACATAAAATGCGCACATTAACCCAAACCCTCCATCCTTATTTACAATTTCTCCTGATTGATCTCTTGTACAAAATATTCTACATTAAAAATATCTACTGTTCTACAATCAACAATATTATACCACTGGTCTGTTAATACAGTTGATTAACCATAAGAGAGAGATTTCTATCTATCTATCTATCTATCTATCTATCTATCTATCTATCTATCTATCTATCTATCTTTCTATCTATATATCTATTTTATTTAAAATTTGGTGTTAATTCATGATGCTCCAAACCTCAAAGAGTAAATAAAGTATATTTTGGTCTGGGTTGACCCTCTTCGGTTCTTGAGATTTGTTATTCTCACGCAGGGAGGTTTAAAAAATATCTTTCTCACGCACCTCTGCCCCTTTAGTAAAAGTAAATTCAACCTATATGAGGCATAAAGTCTGACCATATCAACCTTGTTGCACCGGCTAGTCCTGTCCATAGAGCTAGGTACAGTACAAACTGTGACCGGAATGCTTGACCTGGCTCGGAAATTCAAATGTACTACGGCTGCCGTGATATATCTATTAACAAAACATGGTGGAGATAATGCACGAACAACAACAAGAAAATGGAGATCCAGAAAAACAAAAATGTTTTCATTTTTTTTGTTTCAGGCTGAGTATGGTTCACGAACCTATAGATGGCATCCAGAAAGCTGGTTCCACCACCCTGCCCAGGGGGGCGGGGAGCATTGCCCCTACAGGCCCCCCGGCACAACCCCCTAACACAAGGAAGTGCCCTGTACACTGTAACTCCCTTTGGAGTATTTGGTATGGTTTGGCAGTTCTAGCTCTTCAGGGATATATACAGTTTACAAATTTTAATAAATTTAAAGAATCGAAAAAAAATTCTAGATAATTTAATAAGCACACCAAATGTCAAGATGTTAATTGGACATACAAAAGTATTTTAAAAGAACAGCAAATTGAACTTTTCTACCTACTACCATGTTTTCCTTTAAAATATACGTCAAATTTTTTGTTTTTTTACGCAGTATGATTCTATTCTTTTTTAATTCTTAGAATATTTGGAATATTACTCTTTTATTTATGAGAAGGAATTTCATTTCTAGTGAGCAAAAATTTAATATTCATGCTTTATGTCTTTATTTCATTTTATTTTGAGAATTTTTAATAAATTTTTCAATTACTGCAAAGTGCCTTTGATGTGGAATTTAATTTTGAATAAATCTTTTTATTGATGCTTGGCCCGTTTTCAAAGAATGGCTCTAGTCCATGTAAGAGAAAAATAACTCTAGAACACCCCTTTGATCCATTACAATTTTGTAATTTAAGAAAATAGAGGAATTCTCAGAATCCTCTTCTATTCAGGGACTGTGTGTTTGTAAAAAAAAAATCATTTTCTAATAAAAAATCTTCTCCTTACATATTTTTATTTTTTATTCATTAAAAATCCTACAATGGCACTTTAAGGACATGTACTTTACTGCACTGTACCGTGCAAGATTTATTTTAGATTATTGTACTTTAAACTGTACTGTCCTGTAAATTGCTGTACTATAAACTGTACTGTATGAGTAGGCGTACATAATATATAAATGTGTGACACGGTTCCTCAAGTATATTGCTCTACCCTGGCCTGAACCTCAGCAACCTTACTTAGGAATCAATCAATCAATCAATCAATCAATCAATCAATCAATATTTAGATATTTGTTTAGTTTCATAATAGTTACAAATAGATTCCAATTGTAGTTTCCTCTTCAGAAAATTAATTAACTTGTTGACAAATCTTTTTCAGTTTTAATCAAAATTTTGGTTCCCTCTATTAAATATAATCTGATGCTTAAACACATTGAAATCAACTTCTTTGATCAATTAATAGCAATATAGATAAATCAAATGTTCTGCAAAACAAACGTTAAAAATTTCCATTTTATGTTAACTCAGACTTTTATAAGAGCAGTTGTAAGAAAATCTTTTCTTAAAAATCACAAAGAAATGGTTGATGGTTGTTATATGTTGTTAAAGTTTTAATTAAAATTTTGGTTTGCTATATTAAATATAATATCATGCTTTAACACATTGCAATCAACTTCTTTGATCAATTAACAGCAGCAATATAGATTAATAAAACCTTCTGCAAAGGGAAGCAAAAATAAAGAACGTTTAAAATTTCAATTTTATGTCAACTCAGCTTTTTATAAAAGCAGTTGTATGAAAGTTGATTCGGTTGATGTGTCGATTAGTTGATTTATTGGATAATTAATTCATTGATTGAATATTTATTGGATAATTAATTCATTGATTGAATAGAGTTGAATATCTACGTCTGTTGGGTTGATTGATTGATTGATTAGATATCTACATTGGTTAGGTTAATTGATTAATGAATAAGTTGATTAGTTGATTTATTGATAGATATTTTGATTGATATCATCTCATTCCTTTTCAAGGTCAGTTTTATGATATTTCTATTCAAGGCCAGCTTTTAAAATATTCCTAATCAAGGTCATTTTTATAATAGTCCTGTTCAACGTCAGCTTTTATGATATTCCTGTTCAAGGTCAGCTTTTATAATTTTCCTGTTCAATATCAGCTTTTATAGTATTCCTAGTAAAGGTCAGCTTTTAAAATATTCCTATTCAAGATCAGTTTTATAATATTTCTATTTAAGGTCAGCTTTTATAATATTCCTGTTCTAGGTCAGCTTTTATAATATTCCTGTCTAGGTCAGCTTTATTAATATTCCTGCTCAAGGTCAGCTTTTATAATTTTCCTGTTCAAGGTCAGCTTTTATAGTATTCCTATTAATGGTCAGCTTTTATAATATTCCTATTCAAGATCAGTTTTATAACATTTCTATTCAAGGTAAGCTTTTATAATATTCCTGTTCTAGGTCAGCTTTTATAATATTCTTGTTCTAGGTCAGCTTTTATAATATTCCTGTTCTAGGTCAGTTTTATTAATATTCCTGCTCAAGGTCAGCTTTTATAATTTTCCTGTTCAAGGTCAGCTTTTATAATATTCCTATTCAAGGTCAGTTTTATAATATTCCTATTCAAGGTCAGCTTTTATAATATTCCTATTCAAGGTCAGCTTTTATAATATTCCTGTTCTAGGTCAGCTTTTATAATATTTTTTTTTTCATTAGAAAATATCTGTTTTAAAGATTGGAAAAAGCTAAAAATTGTAGGGTTCATCAAGTATAAATGAGATATCCTTTTTGTTTAAAACTTTGGTTTCTCTTTTAAAGTGACTCGCATTTCTTTGCTTTTAAAGAAAAATATTTTTTGTCAAGGAATAATTTGTTTTAATGGAAAATATTTGTTGTTCAGAATCTTTTAATTCACAATGGCGCTCTTGACACTTTTATCTCATTTACAAGTGAAAATAGTCCAATTTTTAAAAGATAAATGATGGATATCTCATTCACTCTATTAAGGTTGGAAACCTACCGAACGATGGCTACAAGCTGGGGTACAGTTTATCCACGTGTACTATGGACCCTCCTTCAGTTCTAGCCAAGTAAGATTTTTTACAAGTTTGAAACAAAGGAACTGAATACTTGATACAAATTCTAATTTTCAAACCCTATATGGCTTTTTAACCTACAAGAATTTATAGTTTGAAATATCAAAAGTTTACGCAATCAAATTAGCATTTGATGCTTTAGTGTTCACTTCATGATTTATAAACTAAATAAAACCTTTATTCCTATCATTCTATTATTTATCATTTATTTGTTCTTTAATTTATCATTGAAATTATCAATTGTATTCAAGCTACCAATTCTGCTCAAGCAATTTAACAATAAAATTACCAAGAGTTTTCACCATACCTTAACAATTAATCATCAAAATTATCAATTTTCCACAAAATTTAAGCCAGCTTTCAATTTTTTTAGTATACTTTATATTGCAGCAATTTACTAATTAGATTTACTATTCAAATTTACTAATCAAATTACTATTATTTTATACCATAATAAACCAAATTATGAATTGTATCACCATTATTCAAGGCATTAACCAGTTTTACTTTATTTGCACTAAAATATCAATTTATCATTGACATTTCATTTACCAATTCAGCAAAGAATATTTAATCAATTTATCATTGACATTTCATTTACCAATTCAGCAAAGAATATTTAATCAATTTATCATTGACATTTCATTTACCAATTCAGCAAAGAATATTTAATCAATTTATCATTGACATTTCATTTACCAATTCAGCAAAGAATATTTAATCAATTTATCATTGACATTTCATTTACCAATTCAGCAAAGAATATTTAATCAATTTATCATTGACATTTCATTTACCAATTCAGCAAAGAATATTTAATCAATTTATCATTGACATTTCATTTACCAATTCAGCAAAGAATATTTAATCAATTTATCATTGACATTTCATTTACCAATTCAGCAAAGAATATTTAATCAATTTATCATTGACATTTCATTTACCAATTCAGCAAAGAATATTTAATCAATTNCCTCCAACCCTTAATCCCCCATCCGTTTTCCCCGGAACACCATCTTAAATTCCCCCAGTAGTTCTAACCAATGGGAGTGGGGGAGGGTGGGAGGGGGTTGGGGTTCTGGTACCTTACCAATCTAATCCATTAGCTCTAGAGCTTTTTTAACGTGTGTAGAATGTACACACTGCAAGGGTCAAAGAATTGGTTTAAATATTTGTTGTTCACAAAAAATCCAAAAATTATCGTACAAACACACAATACTGCGGAATAGGAAGACACCTGTCAGACTCAAATTGAGATTTTAAATTGTCCAAGGAACATGAAACACGGCAGCAATTGATAAGGTGTAAACGGACCTCTTTACTTTTAACTTTAAAGGGACTGTACGCGTAATTTCAAGGGACCCTCGATGCAAAGATTGTAATTTACAACGGTTCTCTTTAAACCTTCGTCTAATAAAAATGTTTTCAAAGAGGCAAATGAAAATTAACAGTTTAAAAAGAAACAGAAACATTTAAGCTAGTTTTAATTCATACTTGATCAGACAAAGCTTTTAAGGGTACCGTTGTAAATCGGGCATTGACATCTTTGCATGGAGATTCATTTGAAATTACGCTCACAGTCCCTTTTAATGTCATACAGAAGGAGTGAAGGTCAAATTTACGCAACAATACTGGTCACTTTCTCCCCAGAAGGGGCTAATTCATTTAGTGTACGATCCCGTATAGTCTCTATGTGTATTGTGAACTGTACACTGTACAGCTTGCTTATAAATGCTTATACAGTCGGCCCGGTACTTGAAATGTACCGAAGTTTACAGTGTTGTACGACTTTGTGACCTCTTAGCTTAGGATTAAAAGCTCCAGAATAAGATTACTGCTTTGGATAATTTAAACTTATTCTTCTGATAAAAAAAGAAATGCTTTTCCCCACCACAATTTTTCTCCAAACCACTCCATACACGGCACTCCTGTATGCCGAGTCCATTAGCGCCTGATCCAATCAGGGTTCAGTCATGTGTTTGTTGTCTATTCTGAACCAATAGAAATAGTATGGCAAGGAATTAAGTCTTTGGCCACAAACTCTGATTTTCTAATCACTATATCTTTGGAACCAAATGTTGCAGACCTTAAATATTTCAAACTATGAATTCTGTTAGATCTGAATTTGAAATATTAAAGGTTTAGAACATCGGGTTCTTAAGATATTGATGTTTAAATATTTGATTTTGTTCCAAAGGCTCAATTCCTTTCTGTCTAGTTCACAGGTTGAAAAGCTATAAAAATTAGAACATTAGAATTCGAGAAAAAATAATCATTTTTTAGCAAAAGTAGGTTTTAACTTAAAAAAGATTGCAAATCGGTTAAAAATCATATTTTAAAAAAGTGCAAAACCCATTTATAATATTCTAAGGAGAAATTTCTCATCTTTGAAATTTTTATTATAAATTTCCCTTCTATTTGTTAATTGAAGCATTAGTAAAGAAATTGACATGAAATATGACTATTAACTATTAAGTAAAATAATCTTAAAATCTTAAACAGCTAATTGCGTATTTCGATTTAAAGGAACTGAGTGTTTGCCACAAACTCAAATTTACTAATCCCTGTATCTTCAACCTGTTGATGTAAACCTATGATATTTCAAACTTAGACTAATTAACCTAACAGAATTCTGAGTCTGAAATATGGAAGCATACGACATTGTGTGGAAAAGATATAAGGATTATAAAATCAGGGTTTGTTGAAAAAACTCATTTCCGTTGTTAATGTTTTTTTCTCTTAAAGCCGCGAGATTTTGAAATGAATTTTATAATTTTTGGAAATAAAATTTTTAACGGAATTAATTTTTTCTAAGTTAAAATTTCACCTTTTATCATATTATTTCGAAAACTTATTATGATGATAGGATGATTATAGGAATGTAGGAAGTTAACTTATTCAAACTTATTTTCCAACTAGTTTTTAAAACTTGAAGTTTAAACTTGTTTATTCGACTTTCTTTTTCCTTTTATGTACAGGGTTACCCACAAAGGATGAGACTTCAGAGACGATTGTACGGAATTTTATCAGTCCGTTTTCTTGTATTCAGGGTTCCTTTTAGGACAAAACTGGCAAAATTCTGTGTTAAATCAATTAGTAAACTATCAAAATGCTAAATTGAATGTAGAAATCAAAAATCAAGCTGCTTCAAATCGTCATATTTTTAGAGTTTAGGGTCGTCTGTACACAGACTCATACTTTGTGGGTCACCCTGTATCTAAAAGAAGAAAAGCCATAAATTCTGAATGTTTTTTCAATTATTGGGAATTCAAAACTTTTTAAATAGCTATTTAACAAGACGAGTTGGGAAAGATTTCAATGCAATTGTTCAGCCATTTAAAAAAAATAGCCTTCTTTTTTGAGCCCTTTAAAGCAAAACCAACGTTTTCTTTATAGCCGTTTTCTTTATAGGCGTTTTCTTTATAGCCGTTTTCTTTATAGCCGTTTTCTTTATAGCCGTTTTCTTTATAGCCGTTTTCTTTATAGCCGTTTTCTTTATAGCCGTTTTCTTTATAGCCGTTTTCTTTATAGCCGTTTTCTTTATAGCCGTTTTCTTTATAGCCGTTTTCTTTATAGCCGTTTTCTTTATAGCCGTTTTCTTTATAGCCGTTTTCTTTATAGCCGTTTTCTTTATAGCCGTTTTCTTTATAGCCGTTTTCTTTATAGCCGTTTTCTTTATAGCCGTTTTCTTTATAGCCGTTTTCTTTATAGCCGTTTTCTTTNTTATTCAGCGTTAACATTTTAGAATTTATCTAAACTTTAATTATCTAAGCACAGGGCTACCCACAATGGATGAGACTGTAAAGACGACCTGAAACCTTTAAAATATTACGAACCTAGGGTTAAATTTATTCTTTTGCCCTGAATTTAGTTTTTTTCTATAAAATTATTTAATGATTTGGCAAAGAAAGAAACAAGTTTAATTACAGTTGCGGGGAATCATGAATAAAAGGAAACAGACAATATAGCATTCCTTACAGTCGTCTCTGAAGTCTCATCCTAGCCCTGTATGTTCAAGACATGTGCGCTATATCAAATTTAGTTAAACTAAACTAAAGTTGATATTTTTAATATTATTTTACCTTACAAAAGTGATATGCGCATTTCTACTGCAAGAAAACTAATATTTTTAATATTATTTTAATATATTTGTTATTATTTAGGATTATAATAGAAGCTAAGCTAGTAGAGGTTGGGTTCCTATCCAGAGGTAATTAAGATAGTAATATCTGTACGCTCTTAAAGGGACTGTAAGCGTAATTTAAGTAACCCTTTAATGCTGATATGTCCGANTTAAAGGGACTGTAAGCGTAATTTTAAGTAACCCTTTAATGCTGATATGCCTGATTCACGACGGTATCATTGAAACCTTTCTCTGATCAATAATGTGGAAGATATTGTCGTTTTTTAGGTTTAAAGGTGTTTAATTCTGATTATTCTTGTATGTTTTTCTTCAATAGAAAGGCGGTAGTCACTTTTGAAGAGAATCCACAATAGAAAATAATCAGTTTTTAATATTATAAAAATGGATGATATCTAATTCATATTGATCAGACAAAGCTTATAAGGATACCGTTGTGAATCGGGCATTGTTATCTTTGAATATGGGAAGTCACGTGACATTTTGTACTGACACTTATTTGCATTGCAATTTTTTTTCTTTATGCTTGAACTATCTATTACTATTCATTTCTCATTAGATATCATGTACAGTCCCTTTAACTAGTTTAAGTAACATGTACAGTATTTTAACTGGTCTAAATAACGTGTTCAGTCCCTTTAACTGGTTTAAATAACGTGTACAGTCCCTTTAACTGGTTTAAATAACGTGTACAGTCCCTTTAACTGGTTTAAATAAGGTGTACAGTCCCTTTAACTGGTTTAAATAACGGGGACAGTCCCTTTAACTGGGTTAAATAACGTGTAAAGTCCCTTTAACTGGTTTAGATAACGTGTACAGTCCCTGTAACTGGGTTAAATAACGTGTACAATCCCTTTAACTGGTCTAAATAACGTGTACAGTCCCTTTTAACTGGTCTAAATAACGTGTACAGTCCCTTTAACAGGTTTAAATAACGTGTACAGTCCCTTTAACTTGATCTTGCCACTCTGTACCGAAACAAGCTTCGTTAGTTAGTTTCCAAAATGAGAAAAGAAAAAAGTTTGCTAAACATTTCTTTTGTAGAATTTTTAACCAACGGGTTTCATTCTCAAGCAAGGAACTCTGGGTCAACCTTTCCGGTCCCAATTTGTACTGTA